ACTAAAATAAACCCAATGAAAAGGAGTGGAGATATTTTTGAGTTTATTTAGTCACAGGTGTGGGTTGTACATGACTGTTTGTGACAAACCTGTCATTTTTGGCAACTATATAAAACTAATATAAAAAGACACATCTAATAAACCCAAAATACATTTATTTTCATATTACATATCACAGCATTTACCATTCAGTTTAGGGCTTTTAAATTTGACATTTTATTTTAATTGAAAATGTATAATTAATATCCTGCATAAAAACTTTATTAATTCTTTCACTGACTGATTAGTGATTTGTTCATTCTTTCACTCACTCACTGAATCATTCAATTACTCATTCATTCATTCTTTCACTCACCCACTGACTTATTCATTCAATTATTTAATTTATTCTTTCACTCTCCGATCGCTTCACTCCAGCACTCAATCATCCATCTAATCACAAATTCATTCATTTGTTCACTCACTCACAAAATCATTCATATAATCACACATTTATTCAGTCATTTCCTGACTTATTTACTCATTCACCCAGTCTCTCTTTCAATCACTCACTCATTTACACACCTCTTCACTTTCATTTATTCATCCACTGACTTATACATTCATTCATTCACTCAGTCACTTGCTCATTCATTCATTCATTCAAACACTTACTCATCACTTTATATTAGTATTAATTTCCTCTTATGCCAACCTATTAGATATCGTATATGACAGCAAGGAGCCATCTGTTACTGCATAACAAGAGTAGATGACATTCAGCGACTGAATCTCTCTCAAGGTGGTAATGCAAAATGACTAATCTTTTCATTTCTTTTCGTCTCATTTAAGAGCTCACACATGACTGAGGAAAAAAGATGCCTCACACCATGTTACGCTTTTCCAGCTCACTCGTACAGCCGCCAGGACGAGCACAGCACGAGTCTGCCAGCAATTCATTCTCCCTGCTGTGCCATACAACACCAGAGCCAAGACCACGAACCAAACACATGGCTGAACAACACTGAGGAAAGTTACGGGGAGCTTGACAACCTTAAACAAATGAGAAAGAGCAGCTTCAGTTTTCTCTTCTGAAACACAGTGTTGTTGTTTAGCTGTGATTAGCCTTCTTGTGAAGGGCTGTTCTTTAGATGTTGGCCTATTCTGTGTTTATGCCAGTAAAATTTTATCATCACAGATAGAAAATCCAGCTGTGTTTTGGAACATGCTAGCTGGATTCTAACTGGTCTACGCTGGTCGTGACCAGCCACCATGCTCCAAAAACCAGCCCGAACTCCTCCTTGAGATAGTATGATAACTTGTTCCAAAACACACCAACCAGCTTAACATGAATTTCCTAGCAGAAATAAAGTTTAACACTAGTACATAAACAATATTTTGCAACAATGCTGTTAGTGCCTTAATGAAACTTCAGAATCAGGTCACTATTTTCTTACAACTTCCTGACAACTTCCTCAAAGATCTTAATCAGAGTAAACGCTCTTGCGTGTGCATGAGCAATGGCCGGTTTGTGAACCAAACGCATTTACATTAGTTCAATTACTTTCACAAGCCCTGATCTGCAGAGTCAGCTGCAGTTATACTATCTGGCTGTGGTGCACAGTCAGGAAATGGTGTGTGTGTGTTTTTCCTCCTTTTGCAATTTTCATTTTCGGAGGCTTTTGCTGACCCATGTGCCTGACTACAGTAAGAGTCTCACATCCAGTGTTTTTCACACATCTAGTATATAAATACTTCAGACTTGAACACAGAGACACTTTGCATGCCTCTGTCTCACATATTCACATACGTATATGATAAACATGTTCCTAAATTAATCTGAATACTTTTGGGGGGATATAGAGATGAAAGCGATCCGCACTCGTCCAAATTCAGCCAAAAGGGCCTATTACATTTATTCCTCAGAGATCACAAAAAAACATACAAAAAAGTGCAAAGGTGCAGAATGTTTTCGGGTATTAACTCTTCCTCAGTGCCATGTTAATACCCGAAAACGTTCTGCACCTTTGCACGCACTTTTTTGTACATATTTTTGTGACCTCTATTTATATAGTATTTATAGTGTTTGGAGCTACAACCTTTTCTAACTGTGGATAATATTTTTGGGGGGTGCATAAAGTGTGATAGTGTGATACAACTGTCCAAATATCACAATTTGGGGGGGGGGGCTTCATTAAATGAATGAAATAACAAACCATCTTACTAGTATTTGAAAAACATTTGACTGCAAAATCAAAGTGTGTTTGTCAAGGTCAATAAGTTTCACACATTTCAGATTTGGCCTTTTTATTACAAGGCCAAATTAATTCACGTCATGTGGTGTGACTTCCCAAAAATGAATTATATTTATGAATTAATCATTTACATTATCCATAAAAAATAAGTTTACCTTAAAAAATATATTGAAACACTTTTTTGAAAATAATGATTAAGATGTGTATACATGTATTCAAGGTATAAGGAAAATATGTTACTGTTTTTTACTTGATGGTTACACCACATGATATTTTTAGAGTCAATAAATTGAAAATGACTCTATACCATTTTATGTAATTTTTTGAAAATGGCATAAAAGTTTCAAAACTACATGAAACCAACCATTCAATTTATATATATACATATATATATATATATATATATATATATATACACACACATTACATTTCTAATGACGTTGACGGATGACAGTATGAAAACAGACTCTACTGTCAGACAAAAAAGATGAAAGATGAAAGACAGAGAAGGAAATAAAGAAAACCCTCAACAGCCCTTCTCACAGTTGCCGTTCACTGCAGCAACTTCTCTTAATCAAACCACTTCCTGTCTCCACGGGGCATGGGTGCCTGACATGGGGTTCCTGTGGGTCTCTCATTAAATTAGACAGCTGCATGTCCACATCCCTGTGCAAGTACAGCTTCCATCATCAAAGACAAGGCTGACGCAAAAAAATGAACATAAAAGAGCTTCACATTTTTTCTTCATAAATGAATGATCTAAAATCCTGATCCAACACTTTCCTTTAAACTCTCAATGCTAATATAAATAATGGATGCTTCAGATTGTGTAACTGAGCGATACTGCAGAATCACAACGACTGGTGTAAAATAATTTATTGCAAGCCTGTTTTTCATGATTCTTGTATCTGCTGTCCTCTTCTTCACCAGTGAAAGAAGTCATCAGCATTCCCTGGAGGGTTGCAGAGATGTCTTTGAAGAGGAACTGTCTGAACCGGCTAATTTAACAAGGTGGGATGACCAGATCGAGAAAAAGAGAGTCTACAGACGCACAAGCCAAGTCAAGCCCTGCTGTTTCACTGCTGCATTAGAGGGAAGACTCCAGAGAAAGTCATTCCAGGTGTTGCTCGTGTTCAGTTCACAGAAAACAGAAGGGGAAGAGAGGCTGAGGGGATGGAAGGAGAATAACGTGGAGGAACAGGGAATGTGGGAGAGAGAGTAACAGAGCAGAAGAGAGAGAGAAAGGCCTCTTTGATGTCCTTCTGGGCCTCAGGTGATTCTCATTCCCCTTAATTAAGTTGCATCTCCTCATGTGCGACCCAAATCGTACCTACCATACGGCCTGCCTTTAAAATCAACTGGAAACCGTTTTCACAACCCATTATATGACTGTTTGTGACACATTTCTGAGTGAAACAGTATGTTTAATGAGAAAAAAAGTAGTGTGGGGTTTTTTGAGATCAGGAATCGATTCATTTGGACAATAGAGATTCAATCGGACAATATTGATTTAATTGGACACTATAGCTTGTTCCAATGGTTAAAATAGCAAAACGGCTAACACTGTTATTCGTGTAGTACCCAAATGCGTTTTTATAGTTAAATTGTGTTGTTAGTTTAGCAACATGCTAATTCTAAACATGAGTCAAATAATTCTATTGCTTTCTAAGATACGGCATTTTGTCATATAATTCTTCTAATTATTGCCAGGCATATTGTCATATAATTCGACTGTTTTACCCAATATTTTTGTGTTATGTTTTTTATATTTATTGAGTATCTCATTATTAACTTAGCAACATGCTAACTCCAAACTCAGTCTGAACTGAATTATCCCACCTTCTAACATACCACATTTTGGCTTGTAATTAGTGGCTAAAATTAATTTTTGCACATAGTTAAGGCTGCAGTAACAACTACTGAAAATTCAGTTTTGTCATCACATGAATAAATTACTTTTAAAATATACTGAAATAGAAAACTGTTCTTTTAAATGGTAATAATATTGCACAATAACACTGTATATACTGTATTTTTGATTAAATACATTTTATGCATATTCATATGAGGACACCAGCCATATAAGTAGCCTTCAAATGTTTTTTTATTTATTGTTTATATTTTATTTATGTTCAACCAAATCTATACTTTTGCAACCTTTGTATCTTCCATGAACAGTTATTCATACTTTTTAAACTTTTCTCTTGGGTTTTAGTGCACATTCCAAATGCTGAACTTGTTAATAAAAACACAATGCTAATTCTTTAAGTACTTTTACATGTGCAGATTTTTTCAACAAACTAGATATTCCGACTAAATCACTCACAAGATGTTTTAAGAAAACAAATGATACATTTTTAATATACTAAATTGCATTGCGTAGAGCTGACAAAAGATCACACTCACCGCTACGCCCACGGTCTGTCGGTTGAGGTCTGTGGGTGGCTGCAGTGGTTTTGGCCTGGTGTTGAGATGGACCAGAGCTACAGCTGCGAGGCTGAACAGAAACACCAGTCCTGAAGTGGACAGCGGGGTAAACAGGAACTCAAACAAGAATTCCATAATGCACAGGATCTACTAAAGCTGCTGAAAAAAATTAAACAGTATTGAAAAGAAATCTAGAATAACATGGAGGGTTAGTTTCATTCATAACATAGGATTTGAATTTACTTTTGAATTTACAGGAAGTGCAAGGTCCCTGTAATCACACAAGTGCTGTTTTGATGCTACATTGATTAGAAGGTATTGATAAAGACAAATATCAGTATGACCTTGAGGGGTGAAGGTTAGAGTGCATAAGTTCATTCAAAGGTTAAAGAGCACAATACAGTCCAATTAAGAAAAATATTTCTCAAAATTAAGCTTTTTTTCTCAGTGAAATTCATTCTTAACATTCTCCAGTGATACTGGTTTTATCGTTCAACACCTGTTGCTGTTCCACATGATCTCCAGTATTGCACACATGGCTATTATAAATGCTATTGGATTTGATTACATTATCTACCCAGCCATGCATTTATGGAGGCCAAAGTCTAGCAAAGGTTATATAACCCTTTTCAGCCTCAAGAGCATCCACTGCCTTTTCTAAAACATAGAAAGAAATGTTCTTTTATATATAATACATTTTATGTATATATATGTGAGCATAGCCCACAGTCTCTGGGCCAATGTTAATATATTATGCATCATTTGATTTATTGATCAGAACATCTCATTGTTCAAAACACCAGAACAACTCAAGTCACAATGATAAGATAATTCTAATACACATTCTCTGAGAAACCAAGCTATTTAAGAAAAGAGTTATGAATGCAACATTCTCTATGTACACAAGACCATACATGAAGTTTTGTATGCAAAACATCCCTACTAGTCCTGTTTTTAATTTACAAAATTATCTGCATCATGCTGTTTTTGATTTAAACATGCATAACAATAAATGCACATTTATATCAGCACACCAAAATCATAATTAAACCATCATATATGGATGTGAAATGAAACAAATAAAAATTTTCAGAAGCAAGTACCTGGATAACGTTCAGGAGTCCGGTGTGTCCGTCAGGTGATGGACCTGGAAGAAAAAGTCCTGTGAGACTGTCCCTTGCACAGGTTTGCTAAAGCCACAAGAAGTCCAATAAAACAAGCACATGAGTGACCTTTAAACCAATTGTTGCTATCTGTTCCCTGATAATACAAATGACTGAACATAAACAGAATCATGGCCATACAGCTAAATCCTGTAAAGTGAATGTGGGTTACACAAGATTCACAAGTCTGTGCTTTAATATCTGCATGCTGAAAAGTACATGCAAATGTGAAACTACACAGTGCTATAGTACAAACGGTGGACTATGACATTTGCCTTTGCTGGTCAGCATGACATTTAATTGCATGCAGTGTAAAAGTTGGGTTGAAAGTTGCTCCCACTCAAATACTCAGGTTTTCATCATGATTCTTTATTGCTCTGTTGGTTTGCAGTAACACTTTGCTAATTCAACCCATCATTTACTGCTTTTCAGCTTAAAGTGACAATCAGGGTAGGCCGCTGGGACCCTAAAACCCTTGTTAGCAAGAGAGCAGCCCTAGGCTAGTCATGTGACACCTCCTATTAGCAACCTCAGTTAAACATGACACAACATGATCTTACGAACACACATTGTTTTCTAACCTCATTTGCCTCAGCATCATTATCACAGCATTTTAGGAAGGACGTCTAAGTTGAACTTTGACATTTGACTGTAATGACAGATAAGATGTGAGTACCTTTGGATTTTGTAATCTGTTCTGATAATAGACAATGAAATTAAAAGAACGAAAGCCGTCAAGGCCTCTATGGATTTGAGTCTTGTCGATTGAAGTCAGAGTTGATCAATTTAGGTCAAAGTTGAAGTGATACATACTCAAAAGGAAAATATGCAGATCTACATACATTTGGTTGCTGTCAATGCAGCAAAATTTGAGCTGGCATGAACTTCAGCAAATTTGTTTAAAACCTATCGATCCATGCTATCCCAGCGTGATTTGTAAACCTGAATTTATGGTCATGGTAGTGATATTAACATTTCGTGGTAAAAAAATAAAAAATTTAAATGGTAGTGAGAACGTGCAAAATGTGCACTATATGTGCTAAGTGCTCTTTCTCCAGAGAAAGCCCTTGATTAGAATTAATTTCCCCAGGGAAGGTAAGAGTCCATTTAAATCCCCCTGTATGTCTGAAAGCCGATCAATGTGACTGAGTTTTATGCAGGTAGGATGTCAGGAGGATTAGATTTAGTCATAAGTGGAGCCACACGATGGTGGGTGCTGATTTTTGTTTCTTTATCAGCTCTTACAAACTCTGTTATTTGCAACAAAGCAACCCAGTATAAGCTTACGGTTGGCCTCCAAGCTCCTCGGAACGTTTCCTACCCTTTCAGTTTGCTTAGGTTGGGGTCTGCAATGCAGATTGCCATAGACAAGATCAACGCAAATCCATCTCTGAGTGGAAATTTCACCTTTGACTTCGTATACATGGACACAGACTGTAACGCAAAATTTTCACTTCAGGGATTCATCGATCAAGTAATGAAACAAAATGTATCAGCGCTATTTGGTCCACCCTGTCCTGAGGAGGCTGAAGTAAGGGTATTGTTTTGATAACTGTAAATTATTATTATTATTATTAAGTTTTTGTATGATTTATTTATATTTTGCAGATGCACTCTCCAAAGGAAGATCACCCCAGTAACTCTAGAATTATGAATTCTTTCTAAAGATAGCTATTCAGGTAATCTGGTGAACATTCCTGTATTACTACATTTCGCAATATAAATTGTAAAAATAATCTCTGTTTGAACAAGTTACAAATACTCTGCCTGCCTTCCGATATTTGGACAAACAGGTCTTTCTTCCCCAAACTCACACTACTGGCTGAGCCAGTCTTGTTATGCATGATTCCTTGGTGCTAGTGGTGCAGAAATCACACTCTTTCACCTTCAGTCTCCATTTAGATTAGAAGATTTAGATAAGCCTTTGAATTTGCATGCCAGTATTGTCAGAGAATTAGCACTGATTTGTTTCAGTGCCACATACTGTATAATAAACACCTACAGACTGCTGCAAACGCTCCGGATATTCCAAACCCAGGATAGACCAGGAAATTGTTGAACATATTAATAAGCTTGAATGTGTGTGTGAGAGAAAGTGGGCATTAATGCACGGGAAATAAATGAAAAAAATAAAATTGGGTTTTGATTTAAAGCTGCCATTGTCCAAGGAGTCTGAGGTCTAGACATGGAGTTACTGAACTCACCCAGTATCTATTACGAGTATCTATACTTTAATGTTACATGCCATGCTTTGAGCAATAATACCCATTATTCTGTTAGTGTAGAGGAAGCAGATTCAGTTTGGCAGACGGCCCAACTGTGAAATGTAAGACAGTGTTTCCATTCCGGGGAAGTTTTGTAAGGTGTCTTAAGTTAAACAGCTACTGTACTTTTTAGTGTGCAAAAATCATGTTTGTAAAATAATTTTCCCTGCACACACACACACACACACACACAATACAGTACAGTACAAACATTTGAGGTCTGTATGATTTTATGTTTTTTGAATTAAACGATTAATTTTATAGCGTAATGATGCATTAAATTGTTTAAATGTATCCTTAAAGATATTAATAATGTTGTTTGAACTTTCAAACAGGAGTATAACAGTTTCCACAAATTATGCTTTTCAGCATTCATAATAATCAGAAATGTTTCTTGAGCAGCAAATCAGCATATTAGAATGATTTGTGAAGGGTCATGTGACACTGAAGACTGGAGTAATGATGCTGAAAATTCAACTTTGATCACAGCAATAAGTTATATTTTAAAATATATTATCATAGAAAACTGTTATTTAAAATAGCAATCATTTTTCACAATATTGTTGTTTTTTTGGTCAAATAAATGAAGTATGGTGAGCATGAAGGACTTCAAAACCATTACAAAACATCTTACTGAGCCCAAACCTTTGAACAGCACTGTATGTACTTCACTTAGGTAAGTTCCTGAGATATCAGAATGATCTACCAAGACTGTTCAAATCTTCCTCCGTATCGCTCAGTTAACTCACCTGAACAAACTGATACTATACAAGTGCACATTCAATATTTGAAAGTCAGTTTCTGTTTAGTCACATACACTTGGCTACAAAAAGCTGCACATTTCCACTGTTATTGCCCCGGAGGAAAGATACAGTTCATTTACCACACTATTGATCCTATAGGGCAACATGTTGTCGCACTATATGGGGTAAGTCGTCACAAATGGAACCTGCCATTAAACAGCCTTCAGAGGCTTTACAGCTCAACTAAAACAGTTATGAAACACAAAATTATAAAAATATATGTTATACATGTGTGTGACACTCTTTAACTTTTCTTCATTACATGGCTGCCTTGTCTGAAAGTTGCCTATGATTTAAATGTGTTGACTTGTTTACAAAATATGAAGATACTGTAATTTTAGTTCAGTGGACAGAATTAGAACAATAAATGCCAGTGTAAGATGGTTTACATCAACTATTGAAACTAAAACCTCTACTACAGAAAACAAGCGTTTATTTAACAAGACTTTGGACTCAAATATCTTAAGATACAATCCTTGTAACAACTTCTTCATGTGACAGCTAGCCCCAAGTGTTCTCTCGTATGTATATACCATTCAATAACTGTTCATAACAGTATTCAAGTATTCCTGAAAGGATGATTGTATGCATTTAGTCTGCATCTGATGCCATGAGTGTGAGGAATATGGCTTACCAACATCACAGAGAAGAAGAGATGTCACAGCGTGTCTCAGTGTCCAGAGTCTCCAGAACAGCGCGCTCAGTGCTGGAACAGCATGCGGTGGCCAGTGAGCGGAGAAGCGGCGAAACCGGATCCTCCGGGCCACCCCGCCCCAGAGCTGCCTCCGCCTCCAGCGCGCACATAAAGGCTGCGTTGTTACCTGCAGCCGAAGCCGACACACTCCTGACGCCACGCACGCTTCTCCGGGAGGAGAAACTTCTTTTTCTGAAAGATGTGTTCCGTGGAGCGACAGTTTCTTCGTTTTGGCTGTATCGGTTTATTAATTCCTGCCCTGCACTCTTTTATTGCGTCTGTTTATAAAGTAGTACACCCAGATAGCCCACGCGCAATTTATGCCAAATGTTGCCTCTGTTGCACTGAACATGGGGCGTAATCGCAGCCTTGCTGATATTCAGTGATGTGATGTTTTTATACACTCCAAACTAAAATGGTGCTGTATAGCACTAAAAGTGTTTCATTGGCTTGTAATCATAGGGGAAACACTTTAAGTGCTATACAACACCTTTTGTCAAATGGTGATGTTATGGAGATTTTAGATATGTTACTCCACTCTCATACAGTATGTTTGAAATGAATGGGAAATTACTACAATAGCAAAAGCTGTTTTGAATCACTTTTATGCTTTTCTGAGGTCATGTGGGGGCCCTGGAATATTTCCTTATGGGGGCCCTTGGGGGCCGAAAGATTGAGAACCACGTTATCTCCAGGAAATACACTGTATTTTAATGTCATTTTTTAATCCTTTCCTCAAGAGAGAGTTAGAGAACCTTTACAGAACTTACTGTTGTGTTCGCTTTGCATGTTTTTTGAAGTGTTAACTTTGAGGGACCCATCCACTTGCATTATATGGCTAATATTTTTCTAAAAATCTCCATTATATACATCTGGGACGGCATTAGGGTGAGTAAATGATGAGAGAAAGGTCATTTTTGTCTGGAGTGTCCCTTTAAGAAAGCTCCGTAATCAATCCACTCCTGGTTTTACATTCAATTAACTATAATAGGATGCGTTATTTTTTATTAAATGAATCACGCATCCTTATCCTATCAGGTAGCCTACTAAGTAACAGTTTTCTTCACAGTAACAGATTCACTGATTTCAGGTGTCTGGACTGCTCTGTATGCGCCCCATTCATACCGGTTAACGAACAGTTGAAGCTATTCATCCCATACTGTTGAGGTCTATTTTGGGTTTTACGGTTACCCTGTTTGGATCAAGATGGTAGTGCTTTCTTGGACTAATCTGTAGATAGACCTATATATATATATAAAGCAAATAGTTGGCAGCAAAATTTGTATGACCTTTGTTTTTGTAAATGCTACACTGATTAAACTGGAAACAGTTCACAATTTTTCTCAATCCAATAGCTAAACAGCGCCTCCTACTGGCCAGAAAACGTGACACATCCTTAAATATTTCCATGCATAAACTTTTAAGGTGTTTTGACTGAGCAGCATTTAAGTATGCAAAAATAACAAATAACTGATATTTTCAATCACTTCTGGTATAAAATAAAGTAAAATAAAATGAGTGATATTTTTAAGCTAGATTTTACCCTATAAACCAGAAAAAAGAGAGTGTAAACGTGGTCTGTTAAAGGGATTGTTTGCGTTGGTTGGTTGTTGTTGTAATGGGAGTTTCTGTCCTTTCAGTTTGAACATTACTTGACTGACATTTTTGTCACGCACCCAGTAATATACAAATAACTTAAGTTTATAAGCTCATTATGGTGTGCAAATCAAGCGCACAAAGCTTTTCCCATCCTTGAGATACAGAGGGAACTCAGACTGAGGCTGAAAAAAAAATGTTGACAGGCTGTAAATGGTTTCAAAGGTCAACCAC